GACATCACTATTGTCTTCAACGTCTACTACATCTTCAATTGTTGTGTGTGAATGGTGGGGGTGTTGTGAATTGTGGCTTTGTGGTACCACCCCTCCAACCTCAATATTCCCCTCATCATTATCCCCAGAACCTTCAAGTAGTAGTACTAATTCGGGACAACTTAATCCATGGCTTGTATAACAATCAATGATTTTATATTCCATACACAACTTGTATGTTTCCCTGACTTCATCATCGAACTTAACCCTTCTTAAAACTTCTTTAAGGCTCTGTCCGAGAATTAAGTAATATATCTCATCTATACTACTACATTTGCCACATTTACCTGCTAATTCCTCTAACCAAAACCACCGCAACTCATCTGTGTCAATATCAAAGCATTTATACTCACCATTTCCATACTCTAACATATTTCGATTATTCTTCTTAAATATACCACCGTGCCACATCTTAATTGTAATAACACTCGAAGTAGCCATCGAAACTTCAAATTCCTCAAATATAACCTACAATTAAATAAACATTTATGTGGATCGTTGCGCTTACCGCTACACTAAAAGCAATTGCTGATAGTGTAGCACGCTCCTCCCCCTTTATAGCACAAGCGGAGCGCCATGCGGTTCGATTGCACCAGCAGGCTGACAGATTGCTGGCACCGCATACCTGCGGCCCAACAATCTCCCCCCAGCACCTGCCAACCTCAACTGCGCAGCATGCTGTTGCCGGGGGTCAAACCCGTGACCTTGGCTCTGATACCACTTGTGGATCGTTGCGCTTACCGCTACACTAAAAGCAATCGCTGATAGTGTAGCACGCTCCTCCCCCTTTATAGCACAAGCAAAGCGCCACGCGGTTCGATTGCACCAGCAGGCTGGCAGATTGTTGGCACCGCATACCCGTGGCCCAACAATTCATATCAATTATGTACGAACCAAACCTTAAAATCTGCCATGACCATTTCATATGATTTTTGTGAACACGCTAGTATTACATATTACATAACTCAAATGAAGCAATTTTTTAAGGTTTACCTACAGTTGTGTCTTCTGCTGTTCAGAATCCGGTGTGCTGCGAACGACTATTCTCCACCTCCGAATGAAATCGTATTCAACTCAGAAGATATGGATAAGTGTGGTTGTTAGAACGGGTGAGAGGAACATAACTGTTGTGGGGTATTAGTTGGCGGTAATTTTTTTCACCCGTTTGTCTAAGCGTTTACCGGTTGTCCAGGTCGTGGGTGTCAAGGTCTATTTTTGGAAAAGGGGGACCCAAGTTGGGAGTACAGGGAAATAATCAATACTAGGGATTATTAAAAGTGGACCACGTATGGTTGGGATTAATAATACCTAATTTTCATATATTTTTTGTAACAATCGGAATACAAATAAAAACATTATAACACTTTATAAAAATAGATGTATTTAAAGTGTTAAAATATTTTTTTATATTTATATATATTCAGTATTGGTGTCATATGAAAGAATAAAAATTTATGAATTTTGATATATTTTTTATAAGAATTAGAGTAGAAATAAAAAAGTTATAATACTTTTAAAAAATATGAGATTTTACTTTGGTGAGATTTATGACTGATTTTCTCGTCTTTGTGACTTTTTAAGAAACTCACGTTAGTAACCCTTTTCATGGTTAATGCTCATTCAATGCATTACCAAATTTACTTTTCTCATATATTCTCTTTTATGTCTTCATTTTGGGCGAGATGTTTCCCTCTAATTGTTGTGCCAACACTGTTACTTTATATTATATAAAGACGAGTATACAGAAAATTTGTGTGTGTAGAATCTACACAGACAAAAGACGATGGCTCTAAACTCTAATCCTCAAACATTTCGACCTTTCTTGTAGGTTGTCTCTCACTTCCGCCAAGATATTGCTATCGTCGCACCCATTGTTCCTGCCTCTATTGTCGCTTTTCCTAAAACAACACGCCGCACCGCTTCCACACCTCATTTCACCGGTCCTCTCAAATTCTTCCCCTCCTTTCTTTCCAACAATGGCAAAGATCCAGATCGGGAGGGTCACTGCTCAATCTGGAGCATCTCGCACACATCCATCATCTTCGTCGATGTAGAGGTTATGCAATGGCTAGGTGTGCGGCGGGGGCCAATTGTAGGCCGTGACTGAGCTGGGGCAGGGCGGATGTGGTAGTCACATGAAGTGATGGGGCGAGGGCAACCATTTCGCTGATCTGGGTAGTAGTTTCACTGGTCAAGTGCTGTGATCAGCTGATGTTGGCGGTGGCTAGGGTTGTGGGGTCGTTTAGGAGGGGGTGGGTGGAGAAATGGGGACGGGGTGGGGATTCTGGGAGGGGGAGGGTTAGGGAGCTAGTGGGACAAGGGGTAGGTGGTGGTGATATCAACTGGTTGAGGTGGTGGTGTCACATGTCGAGGCGATAATCATGGTGTCAGCAGGGTCGCCAACGCAGTGTCAATGGGGCTGTGTAATTAGAACTTAGGTTACTAGATCGCTTGTAACAGATGAGGTTACATGACTAGACGTCTAGACCCGGGGCCTAATATATCGACCCAGGTCCGATCTGGGGCTTGATCGTGCTGGTCTAGCCTCATAGTTTTGTCCAGCAGGTCCAAACCTAAGTCCATCATCTCACTAAGGCAACACGACCAACAGTTAGGCCCATCGACCAAAGAGCTCAGATCAGCCCAACTGACAACGTCCAACAAGGAAAGGAAGACCAACAAGGCAGAAGCCCAAGACAGTCGGCCTATCAGTCCAATCGGGAGCCTACCTAATGGTCCATACAAGAGCATGCTTATCCATCAATGGGGAGCCTACCTCCCGACCCAATGGGGAATTGAACCTCCCTTCTTACCCAATAATTTTTCATTCTCACACATTCTAGTGCAGTATTCCACCGAAGAATCTGCCTTCTTCAATGGGGATGTGTAATTAGAACGTAGGTCACCTGGGCGGGAGTCTGCCTTCCCGCTTAGTAGGGAGCCTGCCTTCGAGCATAGTGGGAGCCAGCCTTTTAGCCCAACGGGGGGAGCACGCCTTCATGCCTAATGGTGAATCTGCCTTCCAGCACAATGCGGGGGACCTGGCTTCCTGCTCAACGGTGAGCCTGCCTTCCAACTCAGTAGAGAGCGTGCCTTCCAGCATGGCGGGGAGTCTGCCTTTCAGCAAACGGGGGAGCTTACCCTGCAACCTAACATGGAGCCTGTCTACCAGCCTAGTCGGAAGCTGCCTACCAGACCGGCAAAGAGAGAGTTTAAGCGTCTGACTTGCTAGACAGGCCAACATTCCAGCCATAAAGAGCAATGTTTAGGCAATCAACGCGCTAATTAATTGTGTAGTTAATTCTGTATTAATATTGTAACTTACTAGTCATTATTGGCAACTATTGTTACCATTTGTAAACGCCTATTGATAGAGTATATGGGTCTATACCCTATGGTCCACATACTTAAAAGACTAACATAGGGATAAGTAGCGCTCAGATGGGCTTCCATCAGCCAAACTCATTGGATCTCAGAATATAGCCCAGAAGCCCAAGAGCAAATGGTTGGTCTTTCATCGACCAGGCCCCCCATCGCCCTGGTCCTCCATCGGCCAACGAGACTCTAGTAAACTAGATTATGTACTTAGCTCTAAATATCATGTACTCAACCCATTTGAGACCTTATTTTGTACTGGGTCTCCTAAGCCCAAGTCCTGGGAGCCCAAATCCACATTTCCCTATAAATAGCTCCCTAAGGATAGTTATAGGGGTGAGAAATATTAATTACTCACTTTCTCTCTCTAGCTTTCATTTCTCTCTAGATTAATAATCTATCACCTATAAAAGGAAAATGTAATTTAAATTGCAGACACACTATTTATGGAGACAAATTTCCTTAACAATTTTCCATTCTCGCGCATTCTATTTCCTACCGATTGTTCTGACGTGGATTTTTCGAAAAGCATATAAGCCTTTTTTATGGACCAACATTAACTTCCAGGGTGTTGCAATTGCAAATCATCGACACTGGTCACTGTGGTTCGCTCTGACCAATATGGTCAGCGGCAATTGTTGTGTCTGGCGAATGATCATACCTTCTCTGCAGAGGGCACTTCCGTTTTGCCATGCACACTCACCCCCACCAGCTTGGATAACATGTCTTTCACCTCACCAAGTGTGGTCTCAATACCTCTAACACCTGTCCTAAGCTATTCAATATCATCCCTAACATTTGAAAGTAGTTGCATAACCTTCAGTTTCCGGAAGAGTTTCACATCCTCATCTTCTTCTTCATCATCTTCTTCTCCATCATCTTCTACTGCATCACCCTCACCCTCACCCTCACTCTGACCCTCATTGTCACTCTCAGCATCGTAGCGTACAAAGTGAAATAATTAGACTCGAATGTTAATAATAGTTTCATGCATATTATTCCCAAAAAACATAACAACTTTTACCGTTTCTTGTAAAGGCTCATCATGAAATACTAGTTCCTTCAAAGAAGAATAGTGAAAAAACCCAACAACTTTCAAATTCAAAATACTAGATTCTTCCGATTTCACTTTTCGGCCTCATTTCCCAGCAAGTCCAGGGATATTCTCATACACCCAAACTTGTATACACAACCACAAAAAAAGTTAATGAAATGTCTGGCCACAGAAAAATAAGATTCTCACACAGACGATTTACGTGGTAAACAAACCATGTAAAAACAAACCTGCAAGACGTGGGGTAAGGACCAAACAAATAACTTTGCGTTCTTGTAATCACACTAGTGGAAAATAGACATTTAATGTCGGTTAAAATCGATATTTAATGTCAGTTATGAACTGATATAGAAGCTGACGACATAGAAAGTCTAGTACATTTCATATCGGTTGGCTGAACCGACATAGAAGGTCCGGTACATTTCCTATCAGGTGGTTTTACCCCACATCGAAAGTATTTTATATCAGTTCTCTAACAACCGTTATAAAAAAAATATTTTTTTGAAAAACAATATATAAAGCATTCTATATGTTTACTTTCCGTAATATTCTATACATTTAAACCTGCATGTTTTTTTTAATTCAACGAGCAAACAAATACATCTGGTTTGATATCGAAGGTTCATAAAGGATCAACTTTGACTTGTTTTCTCATTGAGAGCTACAAAAGTTCCAAATATTGTACTAGTAAACAACTCTTCATCAACTCTAAGTTTCTCATAACTAAAGCACAAAGGGCAGCCTACACCCTCCTACCCCTTTTACCACTTTTACGAAGAGTGCGATCAGTTGAAAGGTTGGAATCAATGTAACGTCCTCTATATGTGACCAATTCTCATCCAGACCGAACAAGGGATCTAAGAGCAAATCAGGCATCTTGATCTGGAGTGTTCTGTCTTGTTACTTCTCGTAGCCCTAACTTAATAGCAGTTATTCCAATTCTGAGACACATCCTGCGCTGCCAACATAGTTGTGTATGGAGAAGATTCATCTCTATCAGCCTTTACTTTCATGCCACCAGTAATGCATACCAAAGTTTCTCTCCTAGATAAATCAGCTATATGTACAATAATGTTGAGGAAAAGCAAAGTTTGTATCATGATGAGTGTAACTAATTTTACAATATAAGGGATTAATCTCTCGTACATGTAGACATGCATGTACATCTAACCCATATCTCAAATGTGTACAGTCACCATTTCCCATGCTTGAGATAGTTTATAGATGGATATATGGTAAACTGTTTTAAGAGTGCTCAAATGACAACTATTAAGTGGTTATGGAACAGTAAATTTAAAAACAGAAATGAGAAGTAATAGTCCCTTTGTATAAATAATACGAGTATGTACTTACACACTTGCAGAAAGTGAAAAAAACTGAAAAAATAGGTACTCAACTAGTTATTTTTTTCAAAAGAAGCTAAGATATAATCTGTTTTAATTTCTAAAGCACCCCAAAAGATATGAAAAATCAAACGTAAACTCAAAATACATGTAATAACGACAAGACCATAAAAACAACAACATTAATATCACATTAAACAAACAAACTAATAATTCTAATGATCACTTTGATCCAAATGAAGTGTGAAAACAAAAAGAATGCTCCATACAAAACATATACTGCCTAAAGTAGCAACACTTTATTGACTCAAGGACATATGGAATTTCAATTGCGTCTGCTAGGTACCTGTGCTGCATATGCTATCAACTTATAGCTCTTCAGAGTCGTGACTATATGTCTAGCTTGAATTTGCAAATGGTGTCATCAATAGGTAGACAACTTTGATGAAGACTTTTTATACACAAAGAAACTGTCATTACTTGAGAAAACATTCCAACCACCTGAATAAAGTTGAAAATACCCCAAAAATCACATTACTTAACAAGTACCGTGAAAAGCACTGTAGGTTAGGAATAGTGTATTTACTCTATTATTTTACCCCCCAAACGAGGACTATTTTTTTCCCTTGGGTGCGCTGACTTACCAGACTTTGACATCTTGCTATTCTACATAATTCCAGTCAAATTTACATCACTTAAAATATGATTGAAGGATGAAGAAGATGCACTAGACTCGACACTAGTAGAAACTCGCAATACATCCTGAATAAGACAACACGATGTAAAAAAAATTGCAACAAGTTGTTAGAGTTAACAAAATTGGGACCCATAATATTAGAAGTTAGTAATTTAGTAATACTAGAAGCAATGGTACTGAAAGGTGGCCAACTGTCACTAGTATTCCTAAGATGGAAAAAGCTGCTAGAAATATATATACTCACCTGGTTTTAGTTTCCTAGTAACAATTTCACTTTTAGAAGCTCATCATTCTCATATGAAACTATAAAAGAAAACAAAAGATGCTTACTGGTATATTTTCCATGTCAGCGTTCATAGAAGGAAAAGGGATTGTGCTCATTGAAATTGTCTTTACTCCCTTGACTGTGAATAACCAACTAAAGAATAATGTTAGACTTATAAACATTGTTATACGAGGGACCTCGTATTTAGACATAAGGAGTTTAGTGGTTTACTTTTACTCTTGAAGTTTCAAGTGCTCATGTTATATATTCATGTAAACCTTTTGCTTCACTATCATCCAAAGTAATCTTCTGTACAACATATCAAGATATCGATATACAAAACAAATCTATGAACAAAAAATGAGAAAGATTATGAAATTAAATAAGAGTGCTACATTAATATGGATGATGACTTTTCAAAAATATATAGTATATATTACTAGATACCTTGAAAAATGTGACGAAGAAAGCTCCACGACAAAAAATTCCCAATATTAAACCACAAAAGTTGACAAGAAAATGTCAAACCAACATAAAAGTATCTGAATTTGAAACCAATTAAACCCAAATAAACATTTAAACTAACACCTAGACAATAGCATATACAATTATCGAACCCGGAGTGTAAAAGACATGAATAAATATCAAATGTATTGTAAAACAGGGAATTTTACCTAAATAGAGTGGTGATATAAGAATAGCGGTCAGCGCTGTAGGTGGAGGAACGCTAGAGGAGGAATGGGAGTCGCCAAATGTCCGTGGAAGAGTTTGTTTAGTGGACGAATGATGTTCATCGATCATCACTAGAGGAGTGCTAGTGGAGGAATAGAAGTCGTTGATTGTCGTGGGAGGAGTGCTAGTAAAGTTATGGCTGTCAGCGGTGGAGGAACGAAGACGGCCCGCCTCATATTTTCTGGATGCTTTGCCCTCCGGTCCAACTCAGTTCTGGAATCAGAGCTCGCCACCATTTTCATCGGAGCTGCACGGACAATAGAGGTTGGTTACTCTAACATCGAATCAGACTCCCTTGCTTCATTTTCACTTCTACGCTCCCCAGGCGAGCCCAAATCCTTCGAAAATCAGGCACTATAGATCTGACACATGACCTCCACAGGACTCTCTCCAACATTGCTATAGGAGGGCTGGTTGTGACTTGCGATGTTGTGCCGGAGGTTGAGGATCGAGCGGCTAGGGCAACAACGGACTTGGGTTTCGCTTCGTTTGTGAAGTCTTAAGGCGACACATGGTTAGTTTTTTTTGAGAACATTCGATAAGGGTTAACATTAGAACGGATACGAAATGCATTTCTTTTAATTAGACTAATGACCCCGAGCTAGATAATAAATTTATGCAAATTATAAATATGACCCCGTTTTTACTTTTTGTATTGGTTACTCAATCTACCCGTTATGAATACATTTTTTATTTTACGAATTCAACCCACCCATAACCATAAACTTTTAATTAATTATAAACTTAACCCTGTGTTACTCTACCATAAGGGTTAATCAATTAACCCATATAAAATCCTAGTTATAGAATGCATATTTTGCACTAGTGTCAATCCGGTTGACCACACATCAACGACTTCATATCGATGATCATAAGGTTATACGATTCAAGTATCCAGAGATATTTTTTGAAGTTCTCAAAGTCTTCGGCCTAAGAGAAATGATCAAGATTGATCTTCGTTGAGTGGTCCCTAGTCAACAACACACCATCACCATTGTTAAGGGGTCCATTCACTTCTTCGGATTGATTGCCTTCATTGTTTCCTTCAACTCTTGGTATGTCACACACTTGTTTCCTTTAAAGAACAAATCGGCCACACCACCTTTCTCATTCTTTTTAACAAATGTGGGTCGGGTGGTGTATGCAGGCAGTTCGGTAATTTTACAATAATCTTTAAAAGTGAACTTATAAATCTTCACTCTTATATATGGAAAACCGTAGCTCATCCACGGGTTGTTGTCGAACCAGCCGCAACAACAACATGTGAACAAACTGGCCAGAAAATTGGAGGTCTAGAGGGCAAATTATACCCTACGACCGGCACACCATGAGGATGGTGTGTCGGATCCCAATACCTACCGTTTTTGCAATTAAAATCGTTTCTCTCATTCATCACCGCACATCTTTCTTCTCCAGCACCCTTTCCAGGCAACTACTGACGCAAGGTTTCCTCCCCAATTTTTTATTCTTCCCATGCTTCCAGGGGTGAGGCGCATCCCACATCCCATTCACCCTCGCCTCTTTCTCCGACTTCTTCACCCGCAACAAGAAATCCGTGTACCTCACCTCTGCTTCCCACCTCAACTTCTCGCAATATCCCAGCCCTCCCATCGCCTTTTCCATCATCTAATCATCTCACAAACAATAAACAAATTCAATTTATCAATCATCATAACTACCTCACCATTCACCAAACACTAGCTAGTTTCACTTCTCCAAATCGAATTTCATTATGTGAGAAGCAAGGAAGCATATTTTATGCAAGTATATGGAGTGCGTGTATATATATATATGTATATATAGATATGCAGCGTGTGTATATATAGTAATTAATGCATGAAGTTAAATCTCTGTAAAAACGTTTTACATTTCAACAGTCTACATTTTACATTTCAACAGTCTAAAGTTACATATCCCAAGTTACATCTAATTTGTTTCCAAGTTACATTTCAATTAATGTAGTTTACATTTCATTGAGTTACATGTGAATGAATGTAATTTACATTTTGGTTAACTTGAAGTTACATGTGTAATCACACGAGTTACATCTCATATAGCAATGGATGCATGGTGCTCACCATGCACCGGTTGCACGGTATAAGCACTCGGTCTGGAGTGTTAGCGAGATGTTCTCATGGAAGCTTCTTGAACAACTCCCATTGACTCATGGGTATGGAATCCAACAAGTTTCCTATCTTGCCAAATAAAATAGGAGCACAAAGAATATTGGGTCGGGAAATGGGACTCAATGAGAGTGAACAATTCATGCTTCTTCCTACGAATAACACAAATGAAGTCATATTTGTACACACATAATGAGTTACACCAAATTCAATTGTACACCCCAAACCGCCCGTGCACCGATCAACCTCCCAGACAGCATAAAAATCCTACAAGATGGCCTGGCCCCTTAACAACCCCAAACCTCCAGTTCACCGTCTTTAGGTTCATCAGATTCAATATTTCGAGTGTAAAACTTCGAAAATACCGTAATGATTTCAAAAAATAATTAATTATCAAGGAAGACACATCACACATCACAAACTACGGACAAATCAAGTCATATGTAAACACATAAAACGACTTCAATCAAAATCAATTGTACAACTAAACCGCCTGTCCACGCCCACATTGTCCACGGACGTTATATTTTGATCTCCCAGACAAAATCAAAATCCTACAATCTGGCCCCTTAAGGATTCTAAATCACCATTACAGTGTGTTTCTCACTTCATGAAACTCAATATTTCAAGTGTAAACTTCAAAAATACCATAATGATTTCAAAAAAAAAAACACAAACCACACATTATGGGATGACATTCAACAATACTACTCACAAATGTGTTCAAGAAGTGGATATTACCTTTTATTTGAAGACTCAACCAAGGATGACAGTGACGTACAGACCATAGTAATGGCTTGTTCCGGTGGAAATTGGACACCGGCTTTTGCTGTGATGAGAGGCCAGGAGTGGAGATTGGCGCTTGGTGACAACGACCCTGTGTTTGAGACGAGGATGGTGGCTTCAGATCGGGATGTTGGACGAAGAACAACAACGATGTGGTGGGGGGTGTGGAACCGCAACAGAGAAAGAGAAAAAGAACGAAGAAATGAATGGAGGGGCGGGAGTTTTGAGAAGAGAGACACAACACATGAGGGGAAGAGGTGGTAAAATATCTAAGCTGTTTTTTTGGCTTTTATAGGGTGTGTACTTTGTGTACATGATGTGTATCCTAAGTATTTTTGGTGCAATTGATTCCACAAATTCATTTTCATTTGAGAAAAATTGCATATATGGTCCCTCAGTTATCCATGAATTTAAAATCTCAGACCTGTATTTTTGATATTGTAAATGTCACCCTTCAATTGTCCAAAATAATGTAAATGTGGTCCTTTTGATGGGTGAAATATACAATGTGAGAGAGAGTACATTTCACCACATAAATGACCATTTTTACAACAATTTGGATAATTGAGGAGTGACATTCGGAATATCAAAAATACAAGTTTGAGATTTTAATTTCGTGGATAATTGAGTGACTATGCTATTTTCCTTTCTCATTTTCATTTTTTTTAAGAGAGGACTACCCCGCGGGCCCGCCGTATAGAGTACAAATTGGAACTTCATTCTCACTGACCACCTCCAACCTAACCCTTGAGTCGGAGAGGAGAATCACTGTATAGCCGCTGAAAAATCCAGCGAAGGGAATGGCGACACTGGCTCGGTCATCTAGAAGAGCCCTAGCAACCACTGTCTCCTCTTTTTTGCGACACGAACGGCATCGCCCGCTGGCCACTGAAGCGCACGCGGCAATCAAGGATTCATCGCTAGATCGAATCAAGTGGGACTACAGAGGGCAGCGGAAGTTAATCCCCCTGGGGCAGTGGGCCCCTAAGATAGCTGTGGACGCGTACGTAGCCCCAAATGCCGTACTCGCCGGTCAGGTAACCGTCTGGGACGGCGCATCTGTCTGGAACGGTGCCGTTCTCCGCGGGGATCTCAATAAGATCACCCTTGGCTTCTGCTCTAATGTCCAGGAAAGATGTGTCGTTCACGCCGCTTGGTCATCACCTACTGGTCGGTAGACACCAATTTCACACTTGATAATTTGCTTAAGAGTACTTTTCTAACATTTAAGTTGGGAAATAGAATGTACACTTTGGTTTTTGCTAGAAATCAAACCGCAAAAGGAGCCATCAGCCATAGTCAAAACCTTTGAATTGACCAAGCTACTCTGAATCACATTTCTGTGGACAGAATCTCAATCCAACTTCCTGAAGGATCTTTGTGTGTGAAGTAATTTTTTTTATGTTACCAAGGAGCATCTTAGGCTTAAAATGAAACTTTTATACCTTGTAAAAGTCTTGTGGAATGCATCTTTCTAGGTCCTGAGACACTGACACTATGCTGTAGTGATTCTATTTCATTTTGATAGAGAACTTAGATAAATGGAAATACTAGGAGAATAGCTCAATACAACTACAGAAAACATTGAAACGTCAAGAAAACATGGATTTTTATATTAAATGCTTTAATTCAGGGGGGCTTTTCACTAAAGGGGAAAAGGAAAAAATTGCAATATCAAGTGATTAAGTAAGCTGAGATTTTTAGGGAAAATGCTATTTTGATGTCTCAATTGTTCTTGATTCTAAAACATAGCCCCTCATTGCCATTTTGTTTAGTGCAATTAGATCCAACAATTATATAAAAGATTGTCAATTCAGTTATCACATTCAAATGGTCCCATCATTTTTGATAAGATAAAAGAAAAAATACACATGCTTCTGGGAAATTGCAAAAGATGCCCTAGTCAAATGGCTCCATAATGATGGTTTGAGAGAGATTCAATTGACAACTCTTTAAATTATTGAGAAGCATAATTACTCCAAGTTGATACTGAGGGACTACATTCCATAATTGAGAACAAGTGAGGGACCAAAACAGCAACTTCCCCTTATTATATTATGTAACTTATTTTGGGAAGGGGGTTTCCTATTCATGGCTCAAAATAGGCAGACATACAATTTCAATTTCTGATCACCACATTTCCTTTGAAGAGTACAACTATACACATGGCTCACCTCTTTACAAAAATTCCTCTTTTTCATTGTTCGTCGTCACTCTATCAGAGTCTTGATGCATTGCTTACTTTCTTCTGCATGGAAACTAAGTTTCATCCTCGACTGAATTACTTACAAGCGAACATATGTTCTTGTTATATTCTCTTTTATCTGTCAGAGGAGTCACATATTTGAATTCAATTTTCAAAGGCAAAGCAATGCAAACAACATAGTATTGGTGTGATTGGCATAACTTGTGCACGACCAATCTCTCATAACTCATGAACTTGGCATTGTTGCGAAAACGTATCTTAGTCCTGATTAGCCTCCGTTTAAACACAAGCTTCTTTGGGTGTCTAAGAAATTTCCTGCATCGGTCTCTCTTAATACCAACTTATATCTCGTCTGGTGTCAAAAGTGTTTTTTCGCCAATCAATGCGGTGTTTTGGGAAACTCAAGGTGCATTCTTCCAAGTCCCTTGTGTCTATAACAGTAAGGATTTGGTAGTGCTTGGATGCTTTCATAAAGATGGACCGATAGAACCTTTTGAGATTCTTTTTTTTGGGGGGGAAGGGGAGTGGGGATGAAGGGTGTTCCTCTTCTTGGGTCCAAGTAGATAGTAACTAACTTCTATGTATAAACCATCATACTCCCTCCGTCCCTTATAACTTTGCCAAAGGAGACTGACACGTAGAATAATAAGATAAAAACCGTGTTTTTGAGGTTTGAGCAGAGGAGATAGAATTGACAAAAATTGCAAATTCTTTATTTAAAAGGGAAACTTACAAAGTTAGTGGGACCATCAAAAAAGGAAAGTTGGCAAAGTTATAAGGGATGGAGGGGTATGTTTTTGTTATCATCTAACCCTGTATCACGAGAATGAATGAATGATGTTGACTATCAATCTTCCGGGTTTCAAGGGACAAACATGGCTTTTTCTAGTTGTAATTTGCTGGTTGAGTACAGTACAGTTCTGCTCATACTCTAACAATGTCTTTTTACGAATTTCCCCCCTCAAATGATACTGGATTTTCTTTCCAACTCAGGATCAACAATTTTTCCCTTGTAGTTTTGTGTTTTCTGTGGTTTATAATGTTTAATTTGTTTGACCAATACAATTTCTCCTGAGTCCTGAGCATCAATCTACAGACTGGGGTAATGATGATGATGATCAATCTACAGACTGAACAGTTGTTTTTCCCAGTTTTTGAGTTGTGTGTCAGTGTTTGCAATGTTTAGACTTGCAATTTATTATTTGAATGGTTGAACAGTTGAAGTTTTCTTATCATTTGAATTTTCTGAAACTGCATCTGTAATTTCCAGCTGATTTTGAGATGTACTTGATAAATATTTAATAAATCATAGAAATAAAATATAATAAAAATGGCAGGGTTACTTTTCCTTTCATTCCTGCCATTTCAGCAAAGAAGAACTACCCTACTTTTATTTATTTACATGATCAGCCTATTAACATTTCAACCACCACAGTCAAATAAAATAGTAGACTAGTAGTACTTGGTACAGTATCTTGCAGAAAATATATTTCTACCAAATCGTATCATGAGCTTATTTTGAAAAAAAGAATCTCTTTCTTGTGAAACTTCCCAGGGCTTCCGGCAGACACATCTATTGAAAGGTATGTGACAATTGGTGCATGCAGCCTTTTGAGATCCTGCACGATTGAGCCAGAGTGCATCATTGGCCAGCACTCCATACTCATGGAAGGTTCTTTGGTGGAGACCCATTCAATCCTTGAAGCAGGATCTGTTGTCCCTCCAGGAAGAAGAATCCCAAGTGGTGAGCTTTGGGCTGGGAATCCAGCGAGGTTCGTCCGCACTCTGACTCACGAGGAGACTTTAGAGATTCCTAAGCTGGCCGTTGCGATAAATGATCTGAGCAATAACTATTTCTCAGAGTTCCTACCCTACTCAACAGTGTATTTGGAAGTTGAGAAGTTGAAGAAGTCATTAGGAATCTCAATCTGACGTTTCTCGTCACTGGGTCAACTGCTCAAGTCCTGTCGGCTTAGATTCTTCTCTTATTTTTCTCTCTTCTTTTTCTTCAAAGAAAAATAAGCAAACACGGGTCCCTTTTGGAATTGTATGCTTTTATGTTGTATGTCTATACTCTGTATACATATTGTGCATTGCCTCATCTTTAAAAAGGGCAGGATCTGCTGCTATCATTCTGCGAATTTTAGAACTTCAGCTTCACCTTAGGAATGAAAAATGAATTTGATGTTGCTTGCATGCATGTGATTATTGGCTTATTGCATGTGAGGGTATCTTGTATTTTTGTTGTTGGTGTTTTAGACTTGAATTTTGTTATGCATTTATGAACAGTCATTTTGTGATGCATCTACTGTCAGGGTCGTCTTTTGTGCATGGTTGTCACGTCCGCAAGGTGTGATGAGGCACCAGCCGACTGCCTTATTGCCACACTTAGACGTAGGGATGGACTTGAGCCGAGTCAACCGGCCCGTAACCGGCCGGTAGTGGCAGCATGGGGGTGTATTAATACTCGTGGATAGTGACATCATGTGTGTGTATTAACACATTCATGAAAAGCTTTTTCTAAACGTGGGGATTGAAAACGGATTGAAACTGGCGCCTGAGGATAAGTTTTATAACTCGATAAGATCCTTCCAACGAGATAGAAAACGGTTTCAACGAAACAAAATAGAGCACGATATGATCAGATCAAATTTTACACGAGTTCGGAGTGAAATAAAAAATATTTGTGAATTTATGGTTAATCTGTACTTGTTAATTAATGCATTGTAAATGAAGTTAGAATAATAGCTTTAGAACTCCAAATTATCTTTCCAACGAGATATAATACGGAGATAGAGATATTACCCAAAATAAGACTAAAACAGTTTGAAAATCCCAAAATAGGACTGTTATGTTTTTATTCCCAAAATATGAATAATTATTGCCATGTTTTGGCTGTACCAGACTTCAAACATGGCAGTACTTTCTAAACATGGCAGTAATTAGTCTTATTTTGGGAATAAAAACATGACAGTCATATTTTGGAATTTTGAAATTGTTTTAGTTCTATTTCGAGAACTTTCCCTATAATACGCTCTAAACGGAAGAATACACAACAAGATATGAGTCATGAATGT